GTAGTGGATCTTGGCACACATCTTGTCAGCCACAACTTCACTGGATGTTGCTCGAGTGTCTGCGCCCAACACCACACAATCCTGTCAACATTAGGAAAAAATGGGCAAAAAATTAACTTTTTGTCATTGTAATGGTTCAGACAGTGTTTTATCCTTTCAAAATAATGAAATAGCGAAATGCCTGAATTTTCCTTTTCATAATACATTGCAGGCATACATCTTAATGACAAGGGAAGAAGTATTTTTAAAATCTTGTTCACCAGTGTCAATTAGATGATGAAATTATACATATGGATACTGGTCATACAAGCACCAGGTATTTATTACAGGTTAAGAATATGCATAAACATATTTTACAGAAAGTACATGAGTGTTACCTTACAGACGACGCCAGCTATGGTGGTCCCTGTCTTTAGAGGCGTTGGAGCCTTTGCATTTCCCTCATTCAGTATGTCCTCAAGAGCAACATTCCTAGCAAAAAAAAAGGACTATAAGAAACAATCATGCGCATTGTTCATGGAACAGAAATCCTGCATTAAAATATAATGCCTATGGGCATTTGCTGCACCAGAGTGGAGATAAAGGGGGAACCCTGATTTCACTGCTCGCAAATACCCATTCTGCCTCTGTAGTGCTTTAAAGCATGACTTAGAGTAGCCAAACGTACATACCAAGGACCCTAATTATACACATTCTTTTAACGAAGTTATTTTAAATGCATTACGAAATATACTTTCGATTTATAGGAAAGCAATACCCCGATTACAATCATAACACAGTTATGCTACTCGGTTAAGATACACTTACCTTCCCGAATTTTCGAAATTAAAACCTGGTAAAGAAGGTTCTATGACAAAAGATAGCGCCATGTCTAGGATAAATTATAATTTCCTGGTTTTACTTCAGTATAGTTTCGAATTCGGTACTTCAGCTCCTGTAACGTGCTTCACGCCGCATGATGTCACTATTTTCACCTTAACTTCCGTCCATTTGCGCTGTGCGTCTGAACTGTTTCTTACAGCTTCCATGTAAAATTTCCAGAAATTGAAATAAGTAATATGGACACAAGAATCAAAGGCGTTAGTACAGGCGTGAGTATTAATTCCTTAAATATTCTGTGGTGGGTGAAGGGCGACCCAGAAAGAACTATATGGCCATCTAAGGTTTGGAAGTTCTGATATGTTGTTATTAGGCTATTATTATAATTATTTAACATCTTTATGTTAGGTGCTTTATTTGTTAAGTTTCTTTTAGTCAAATAATGAATTCTCATGATCAGGAGGTATTTAATTATGAATATACAATGTATTTATACATGAAGTGTCGTAAAATTTACTTTCACTTTCGACTTTTTTATTAAACCTTTAATTAAATACTCAAAAAAAATATTATTTGCGGCCTGGGGATGATGGCGATCATGACAACAATGATGATACTTAAAGCAGGAACCGCATAATTAAATCTGTACACATTTGTACAATTAATTTTTATTTATTTATTTATTTATTTGCAGACTCATGGTCCATAAAGACAGTGCATAGCCATTAAAATATGAGTCGAAGTTTTCCTAAGTATTTATTGTTAATTTTTACAATACACTACTGCATTATCGTTTGATGTAGCTTATTTACAGTGACGTCAAAGGAAAGTGACCGTAGAACCAATTAAGTGACGAATTTTTAGAATGAATTATATTTGGAAATAAAATACGTGTTTCATTTCTCCAATGAGCAACCGACGATGTTATTAATCAAAGCTAACTGACTGCTTCTATCTCTCAGTTGTCATGCTGCTTTTGTTGATTAATGTAATGAATGCAATTTGATTCAATTTACAGACCACTATACTGGCAGCTAAGTTCAATGGGGGAGTTCTTATTGGATCCGATTCCAGGGCCTCAATAGGGTGAGAATTCCCTGCTTCTATGAAAAGTACTATTTCCACATAGTGCAGTTATAATGTGCAATTTTATGTAATATTCTGTGCCAGTCAGTTTACACAGAGAGGTCTCTGGCTGTGCTGCAGGTCCTATGTGTCCTCCAAGGCCATCAACAAGCTGATCCAGGTCCATGACAAGATATTCTGCTGCATCGCTGGTTCCCTGGCCGACGCGCAGGCAGCTACACGGGCAGCTAAATTCCAGCTGTCATTCCACAGGTATTTTACTCTCTGGTTACATTATTTCTGACTGCAATGCTAAGAAAAAAAAGATTGACAACATGGTAAAGTTGTAATGGTATAATAGCATGAACACCTTATTAGCAAGAATACAGCACTCTGTAGTGAAATATTAATTGCATACAAAGCTTTTAAGAATGTGAAACGCAATCTTCACGTGGTCTTTGACAGGACAGCGAACTCTTTAATGCATAAACTCATGTTTTCTATTGTGAGCTTTAGACCATTTATGATGTTTTATTTAGCTTGTTCAGCACATTTAGGCTGATCTGCCAGAAGAGTTAATAAGTATGTGTGTCCTTCTCCGGAAGCATCCAGATGGACTCCCCTCCTCTAGTCAAGGCTGCAGCCTCTGTGATGCGAGATCTTTGCTACAGTAACAGGGAGGATCTGCAGGCTGGCTTCATCACCGCAGGCTGGGACCGGAAGAAAGGCCCACAGGTGATCCCACATCGTGGACCATGGACGTCTCATTCTGAGGAACAAAAATGGGCATCTTTTCTTTACATAAACGAAAAGCAGCATATGTAAAAAAAAAAAAAAAGCAAATCTGTAAATCATAACAATGTGGTTTTGCTGAGATCAATGACATGCTGTGCTTGTTACCTTTATGGAGGTATGACCTGTCACACTGTCCTTTATCCATACAGGTGTACACAGTGTCTCTTGGTGGGATGTTAGTCAGTCAGCCGTTCACCATCGCAGGGTCAGGCAGCACCTACATCTACGGTTATGTGGATGCGAAGTACAGGCCTGACATGAGCCGAGAGGAGTGTCTACAGTTTGCCACTAATGGTATGATGCTGTTTTAGGGCTTTGGACAATTTCCTGTTAGAGCCCAGCAGTGGAGAATTATGTGGGCTGTAGAAGCAACTTTATTTTTTACATCACACAGCCAAAGCAGAGATAGTACAAACTTACATATCATGCTGACGGAGGGAAGCTAAGGTAATACCAGCAAGGTAATGTGTAAGTGTAAATCACAAGGACATTTATCTTTTCAGTGTTTTTCAATTTTTAAATACTGAATAAACTGAACACCCTTGATCTCTTATATCAGCTTACCTAAAGTATATCACTCATGTAATTTTTTTGTGTTTTTATAACCTGTGTCGCATTATTCTGGGTTTCTCCCTTCAGCTCTCACTTTAGCAATCGGCAGGGACAATGTGAGTGGTGGCGTTGTCCACCTGGTGGTGATCACAGAAGGCGGTGCAGAGCATGTCGTCATCCCTGGAGACAAGTTACCCAAATTCCATGACCAGTAGAAAGACCAGTGGATACCCTGCAACCAGTACAGAAGAAAGGAGCAGACTTCACTACAAACTACAAATAACTAATAATAAACAACATTTGAAAAAAACATAGAAATCCTGGTTTTACTAAATAATCGTTTTACAAAAATATTTTGGCATTTGGGACTTTTTAATTTGGAAAACCATTGACACGTCTATAAACAGTTTTTTTGCCCCTCAGCATTTACTATGTAATGCATGTCTCTGTATCATCTTAGTATCATATTCAATACACTGCCATAGTACACTGAGTAAAGTAATTGTTGCTCTTTTCTTATATTGTAAATTACTATAGCAGTCAGTCTATACTCTATACCAGTGATTTTCAACCACTGTGCCACGGCACACTAGTGTAAGGTGTACCGTGGGAAATTATCCAATTTCACTTAATTGGTCTAAAAAACTTTTTTGAAAATTATTATTTGCAAATAATGCCATTATAAATGCCATTATCGAGTGTCTGTGCTGTAATAGTGATGTATTCTAAACAAACAAAGCTATTTCAACATTACTCCATTTCTCACGACATATCTGTGTGAGCTGAGCTTTTCAAGCCTGACTCATAAAAACTAATAACAGAGAGACTGAGAGCTGCTGAGGAAGAGCTTCGTCTCTGTCTGTCTTCAATTCCCGCCAGGATATCAGCTTTGTGTTCATCCAAACAGGTTCAGGTTTCACACTGAGCGAGTATAAATAAATTGAGAGACTATTTTCTCATTACTAGGCTACAGAGTGTCATTTTGTAACATATTTGGTTGGTGGTGTGCTGTGGGATTTTTTTCAGTGTAAAAAAATGTGCTGTGGCTCAAAAAAGGTTGAAATATATTGCTGTATACTGTGAAATTCTACTACCCAAATTACCATTCTGGCTGTCAGCAAGACTCGATACATTATGATTGCTTAATTAATACTGTATCGTAGATGGTGTACATATCAAATCACTTTGGTCTTTTATACATTTACTTGAATGTTTGCAAAGGTGTTACCAAAATATTCTAACAGTTAATGTTAAACATTAATTATTGTTAATTATTAATTATTGTTCATTGACAAAAAAAACATTTCGGAAATAAAAATATTTATGGAAACATCAAGATGTAGTTTGTTTAATCACCAAATCAAGTAAATCAACTATTAAATAACTACTATATAATGAGATGTAAAATGGTTTCAAAATGTATTTCAAAACCAAAATTAAATTATTATATTATTACAATAACAATTTTAACGGTAGTGTCACTGATGTTCATGTCTTCACGGTAAGCATATGAGCAGTAATACAGCATAATGGCAAAATGGGTAGCCTCCTCGCCGAACACATTCGGGGCTGGGATTCTCATCTCTGTGTGTGGAGTTTGCATGGTCAGCCAGAACTCCACGAGATACACCGGGTTCCTCTTACAGTCCAACGAGACGT